GCGAGTCGAGCCCCAACGGACTGCCACGACAAGTTGCGGTGACCGAGATCGAGCTTCGCCAGCGTGTGTATGGTACCGAAAAGGAAAAGAAGAAGAACATTCGTCTGATTGTCTGCTCTGGTGCACTGGGCAGCTACACTGTTGAGAACATCGGCGATCTGAAATCGAAAAATTCTCTCGTCAAATTGCCCAAAAACCAGTCTGGTTTCAAAAGCGGCAGATTAGGCCAGTCGGCGATGGAAGGCAGTGAACCCGAGCAGGTGTTACTGGAATGTGCCTTCATCAAAACAAAGCTCTTGACATCGATCAAGGTCTATCATGGCTATGCAGTGGATGGTATGGAGTTCTTCTACGAGGATGCGACCAGTCAGCTATTCGGCAAGCGAGGAGGCAAGCCTGGTGGTGACGAGTTTGTCCTTGATACTCGACGCGGTGAAATCCTACTTGGGTTCTATGTCCGGGCTGGTCTCTGGATTGATGGGATCGAAATTCTCACGAGCCTGGGGAGGAAATCTGGCATATATGGAAATGCTACCGGTGGCTCAGGGTATGTGACACTGTTTTATCCTCTCGCAATATTTGAACCATACTGACCAACTTCAAACAGCCATACTTTAATACCTCCTTTAGGCTACAAGATTGCTGGAATCGCCGGCTCCTGCGCATCATGGGTTGACGGATTCTCATTGATCATCCAACACTGATAGCAATTTCGCTGTCTACCACCTTCCTTCTCCTCCAGCTCTTGGAGCTCCTTGTCCTCATTTCCCTCCCTCGAGGACAAGCCACAAACCCGGTCAACCATCGTACAGCATGGTGGACTGCGAATGACTGCAGGCATCCTCCTCATTCATCTCCTTTGAGCGGCTTGGCAGTACCGAGCCCTGCATTTTCTTGCATCTTTTACCCTCTTTTCATCCCTAATTTGGGAACAGGCAATTCCGCGATCAAGGACCGGCCATTGGTCACTACATACACGAAGTTCTGTCGGATTTTGTCTGTGTCTATATGTTTTCTTCTGTTTTATCTTCTGTCACACATCGGCGTCCCTGGGCGTGTTGGCGTTGCATGTATGCATGGTGATATTTTCTTCGACCTTAAGAGGCGGTCGATAAGGTTCCAAGTGGAACTACACTTAACTGGTAATCATTATGCACACGGATGGCCACACAGCATTACCGGATCACTTTGTAAAGGGCACATCATTCATATTGGTTGGATTAGTTCATATAGGGTAATGTCATGAAACCACCGTCAATGTTCAAGAATTGTGTGATCCAGAGTAAATGTGTTCAAGGCATGGAAGCAGAATCTTACGATGTTGTAATAGAGTAGCTGCTGGATACTGATAGGTCGGGGGTTACTGTCCTGACCGGTTGACTGTCAAAAACAAGGAATACCAAGGCGCGTTCAGGAATTTCGATCAAGGGGAAGCACCAGCTGAGCAGGAACATCGAAACCACGTAATAATCCCAGTCTCATCAAACAAAGATGACCACACACGCTAACAACCTCTACGATTAATAGCGAAGATGTGGGTCAGGGGAGTACTCGGTAGCAGAGACGTCAAAATACATGGTGCATGCGCAGGCTGACAACATGCGAATGCCCTTGTGGAGAAAGTTGCATAATTAATTGATTGTTTATTGTCCAATGTACCTTGTACAATAGAGACGCCCAGGTTGATCTTTGATGACAAAATACTCCATGGCCCATAACCAATAACCTAGTCCAGGGCAATCATAGGTACGATCAACATACTATGATTATTATGATGTCGTTCGGGGTACATATTGATATACTCTATGTTGTAAATGGGAGCATTAACCGGCCAATCTAAGCGCCTGTGCCGTTATTGTGGAGTGAAACACAATGTCCATCACCAACCTCTCGGGACAGTCACATCATATCTGAACCTTATGAGTCGGCCCAGGGACCCGGGGAACTTTTGATATTTTCCATAGGTACGAGCTGGGGGAAAATATAGACATGACCAATGATGTGGATAGAGCTCGTCACAGAGTGAATATAGAGTGTATGTGTATATATAAGGTCGCTTATGCGGCCGACTATTCTTATTCGTACATAGTACTTATGAATAACTATCTCACTCGCGCTTAAGCCGAATATAAGTGGGAACAAAATTGAGAAATGTTTGTGGCTGATACAAGCTGCGTAAGCTATACCGGGGCATTCTATTTACCAAAGAGCTCTCTGTATGTCTGATATCAAAGTGGCAAGACCGTTTGGTGGTCTTACTGGCTATGCCAGCACCCACCACTGTAAGCCAGGGTAGATCGGCCCCTCTTCCATTGCCGATCTAACGGATACTCCATACCACATTTGACTTACTTTTCCTTTTCCCTTGGCGTTGTGGATTCTACGGTGGGGAATTCAGCCGCTTACACACTACTAAGCGCTCGGCCAACTGTTCGCACTGTTCATACTCGTACTTTGTGTACATTGTACTCCCTTTTAGTGAAGCTCGATCATTTATATCCCTGTACAGATGATGTAACCGATCGACCAACTTTACATAATTAGTTAGTTATTAAGTTGTACAACATACAACATACTTTGTTCGTACTTTGTACAGTGGCGTAGAGTAGCTAATAATCGATTGTATATTCTATACACTTACTGTTTCCGATTGATTCCAATAGAATGATAATAACATAAATTCAAAAATTTTGGGGGGTCTTTTCCCCTCAACTGTGGATATAGCCTTTCCAACGCAGCCGCTGGCAGCTGGCATCTAGCCCATTCTCCCCATTCTATATCACCGAAAACGTTTCTTATGACAGCGTGGCTTCCAGAAAGGTGGACCGTTGATCGATTGAAAAAGAAAAGAAAAGAAAAGAAAAGTGGGGAGGGTATCAATGATGAGGTAATACGAGTGGAGAAGGCGTTCGGTTATAACATTCGTGACCTTTGGATGTTCAAAGTGAGCCCGTTGGAGCTTGGAGTGTTAGCTTCATACCAATTTTTGGATAACTTTCAAATGTAGAAGCTCGAGTAACGTACTTACCCTGTAACAAATGTACGTATATTCAAATGTACGTATATTCAAATGTACGTGTATTCAAATATACCGAGTACATGCTCCGCCGATCATTCAAGGATGAATTTACCAATATTACTGGTGGGTGGACCTTCCAGCAATAAGCTGTGTTTGACCACTGTTTTGAAATGGTATGTGGCTGTATTTTATTCTATGGCCTTACAACATACATTCCATACCGACAAGCTATGGCCATTACTATAAATCAACTTATAGTTAACTAATTATGCTTTATACAATAGTAATTGACCCAACCACTAGGGTCTCCTTGGGCCGGGACCGAAGATGAGATCGTCAATATAGATTTGAATGTTTGGTAGGCAGCACGGAACTGATCCTGATGCAACTGATGCAACTGATGCAACTGATTCAATTGATTCAATTAATTCAATTGAGAGATCCCCAGACCCAGCCAATGGATTCCAATGGATTCCAATGGAAAAACGTATGATCAAACCAAACAACGGACCAATATCAGTTTTGCAGATCCGGTCGGGCCGGCCACCTATCATGCTTGACTACCAGAGATTCACTGTTCCACACAAGTTCTCCTTCCTTTCGCAACCGATGTACTTTTGTGTGTTGTACAACGTACGCCATGTTATGAGGTCAGACTTTAGATATATATTGTGGTGTTGATGCATTTGAAGTCTCAAGCAATGAATGATGGTTATATAGCATTGGGTCAAGCCTACAACGGTATAGTTATGTTGTATGTGCAAAGTACTCTAAACACTCCGCTTGGACATAGCCACTGCTACAAAGTTATAGTAGCCAATCAGGAAATGGATCCAAGTTCCCGTGAACATGAGTCGTATTGAGAAAGTTCTAGACTAGTTACCTGTTGGCGCCAGTGAGGTATCTGGCAATAATATGGTCGGAAAATGGAACCATGGATCATATATATATGTACGAACGAACTATGAAATGTTTCCAGCTGGTCGATATATATATTGTAGAGTCTACTACACATAACTATCTATTATTATATTCTAAAACGTATCAGGAAACATTGAATATAATACGGTAAATTTATACCTATATTGTACACGGCTTTCCGTAGCTCGCTCTCGGTAACTGCACTTTTCCCCTTACTCCATAATTCATTTCCATTTTCACCAATCACTTTATTCATAGTAAAATATATTCTACAATTTATTTACTAGTTCGACCATTTGGAGATGTCTTTTTCTTTTTCTTTTTCTTTTTTTTTTTTTTCAAAAAAAATAAAAAATAAAAAATAAAAAAGTAAACGCCTCTTAACCAAAAGTGGTCTGTTCTTATCGGTAGGTGGCGACAGCTTTCCTCCTCCCGAGAGATCATTTACTCCTCTTAAAATCTTCCGATTACATCCAATGGACCTCTCCCCCCTTTTTGTTAAAAAGTCCACTTGTGGCTCAATGACAGTTTTGTGGGATCTCTTTATACATCGTTCATTGGAGGGCTTCATTAACCGTACCATCCTTGCTATTCCTTTCCACCCCCCCTTCTCCCTTTAAAGCATCGTCATCTCCCCCCCTCGTCTCTCCAATTATACATCATCTCCTCCAATCTCCTATAAGAAGGAAAATTACTCCATTACTATTTTAATCTTTGTTTTTGGATCGACCTTAATACTTTATTTACCTTCACCTTTTTGATAGCCCCGCGAGCTTCCGTGGCATACTTCACTTTGCACATCGATCTAGTCATTTGCGCATTCCTACGAAATTCCTCATAGATCCTTTGACTCGACGCAAGGCTTCGTACAACTTCACAAGACTATCGAACTCTACGTACGACATCCGAACGTCCCCAATCTCGATAAATCCACCTCAAATCGAAGACCAGACAGAGCACACCCGACTCGACTGGCAGCGGGCCACTAATTTACCGGTGGCCACCTTTTGTTTCTTTCCTTTACTATTCCGAGCCAAGCGAAGCATTGATAATATAAATAATGTTTAACAGCCGGTGAGTTTTTGAACGCTTTAATTGTGGATAGCATAATAGTTTCATTTCTAACGTTATATACCTTCCGCACAGCAAAAGCGCTCGGAAGCCAGATGGCGAGTTCATCACTCGCTTCCAGCAAGCATTCTCAGACATTGTCCCTCGGCGAGACAGCAAGGGTGGGCCAACTGAAGACTCGCACAACGTGAGGGCAGGTGAACCTTTGATGGCCTCGAGGTATGTATATCATGTATTCCACTAGGTGAAATGCATTCAATTGAAACTAACAAAGCAATTCCTGCTAGAATGACCGAGAACAACGATGTGAAAATGGAGGAGAGTCATGATATCAAGTTCCCCATCACCAACAACGACCACACTCCTCGAAATATGCACGAACTGGGGTTGACGCCCTCATGGATGGAATCAGCTTCGTTTTCCATGATGCCTCTTGCCAACCAACATGCAGGCTTCTATGCTCCAACTTCTTCTGGAATGGGTGCGGTGTTCCATAATCAGGCTGGCGATTTACATACTCCAACCGGGATGCACCTGATGACCCCGCTGGGGGCGTGCCAGCTATGCACAATCACCACAGCAATGGTTTCGAGCCCTTCCACCCGCAGTTCATGAATCCGGCACATGACATGAACCAGTACACAGAGCAGCCATCGTATGCACCAAGCGCATTTATGCACCGCGACACCGCATATGACGTCATGGATGATACTTTCGATGGTTCTTCTCTAAATAGTGTACAAGCCGAAACAGCATCTAGCATGACGGCCTCTACGGACTTTTCGGCTCAACTGGCTGGTGACATTTCCTATGCCAAGGAAAAGTGAGTCAAAATGATTTGATCAAAGGTAAATTTATGTTCAATGCTAACCGCATTTTATCACACTCTAGATTCCGCTTCAATGTTTCCCTCCGAGCACCGACCGCCATGGTGAAGAATTCGAGTGAAATCCCCGTGACGTATCTCAATAAGGGCCAAGCATACAATCTCTCAGTTATCGACACGAGCCCACCAATGATTAGCCACGAACTGCTTCGATATAGAACATTTGTCCGCGTTTCCTTCGAAGAGCGAGAACAGCGAGCGAAACCGGCAACATGTTGGCAACTGTGGAAGGAAGGCCGTGGTACCACAGAAGCCCATCAACGGGGCGGAAAATTATTAGCTGTTGAATATGTGGATCCGTTACAAGGTGCCAGTGATGCACACAGGAACCGACAGGTGCAAGTCGAGAGTATGTCGGTCGACGGTTTCTGCGTCACTTGGACTGCCAATCCAGCGAGCGGCGCATCGGATTGCAACATCCCCGTGCGGTTTAATTTCCTTTCCACGGATTTTAGCCACTCGAAAGGCGTGAAGGGAATCCCTGTCAGACTATGCGCTAAAACCGAGCTTTTGTCCCCCGGTGAGGAGGCAGGTGTATCACGGGATACGGAGCTGTCTTACTGCAAAGTAAAGCTTTTCCGGGATCATGGTGCTGAGCGGAAACTGTCCAATGACGTTGCCCATGTCAAGAAGACCATTGATAAACTTAAGCAGCAAGTCTCCCAAGCAGAAATGGGTGGTGGATTTGCGAAGCGCAAGCGGGGAAACAACACTTCTGCTACTGCAAAGGGACCCGATAATTTTATGAAGCCTTCGACCCACAAGCGAACTTGGTCGATAGACTCGGACGATATTCCTCCAGAGAAAGTCTCCTTGGAGGATGATCTTCAAGCCAAGTTGGCTACAATGCAAGAGATGTTCTCATCTACTCGCTCAATGAGCATCTTCGGCTTACGCGGGGAAACATTCGATGATCCCGACCTATATCCCATTCAGCTATCAGGCAACGGCGACTCCCCTCATTATGGAAATACGAGCCGTTCAAGCACACGTGAATTGGAGTCAATGATACCTTCGCCGCCCAACACCAATACCTCTTCTTCGAATTCGCCGCCTACACAAACACTCAGATTAGGAAAATGTCCAACCACAATCCAGAGAATTCCTTCTGGCGATCAAGTCTCAAGGGGTTTCATAGAGGCCGTGGGTGTAGACTTGACCTACCGACCGCCGGCCGAATGCCCTCCTAAGCCGAGTAAGTTCTGCAAGCGCAACCCAATCGTTAAGATGTTTGCTAATTTTCTCCACAGTTGCATGCTTCTATGTTCGATTTACTGGGAATGCGAAGCACGCAGATGACTACTATCGTGCAATCTATTTGACGGAACGCACCGCTCGAGACTTTGTGAGGAGAATTGCCGAGAAATATCACATCGATCCGATGCGAATCTCAAATATCATGCATATCCATGACAAAGGCATGCGAGTCATAGTGGATGACGATGTGGTCCGCCAGCTTCCAGAAGGCCAAGACATGATCATCGACATCTCCGAAACACCAGGTCCCAATGGCAGTGCTTCCGGATCTCCCATGGAGATCAAATTAACATATTAAAGCTACATCGCATGCATCCCAAGGCCATGCCCTCCGCCTCTGAAATTCGAACCTATCACAAAAGTAACTTTTCTCTTCGACTCGCCTCATCTCACATCGCTACCACTCTGGTGTGCAGTACACGGACTTGCCATCTTTACTCCTCCTCTTATGTTTTATATCTCCTTTCTCTATGGGCTGGCGTTCACTTTTTCTTTTTTACAGGGCGTTGAACATGGGGATGATAAACGAGTCTCCGAGCAACGATACCCTGTCACAATATGTTTCTTGATTTTTTGACACCTCTTTCGTTCAGATTTAGCGTTGCTTATCCACGACGGTATATGAGTCGATGGGCTATGGAACTATTGATATATTTGTCTGTTTGTTATTATTTGGATCTACATACGAGGTTGATACCTTGTGCCATTTTTTATTTTCCATCTCTTTTCATCCGACATTGACCCTTTCTCTCTCTCTCTTTTTTTTTTTTTTTTTTTTTTTTTTTTGGTTGCTGGTTCTTACCCGCTGAGCCTTCGACTTTTCTACGATCTCTATGCTCTATGCCTGTGCATTATCTACGGGACTTGGATCATTTGATATAGATAGTTGTCTGAGGACGAGACTACAAGTCGGCTACCTTGATGCAAGTGCAGAATACGATGACTTTGCTACCTCCATTATGATCTTACATGTAGAAGCCGTATTTTATCTTTGAGCACAAGGTATCTCTAATACTCGGATGTTAAATCTCATCAACCACACCAATAAAGCCACCAACAGCCATCCAACCCTTAGCACCTTGGAAGAACCTTGGAATAATCATGCGTTTGGTCACTAAGTCTTGGCATTGAAACGCCATAATTGACACTCGCAACCTCCCAAATCGGGTTTATCGTGCCCAACAAGCAGGGGGAAAAAAAGAAAACAATGAACCAACCGCTGCTTCGGGAACATGTGAGATTCCTTATTGGACGGCTCTGGAGCCGCCTTCAAGCCCTCAAGGCCAATGTCCAATTGGCTTTTGGGTTCGGGAGTCATTCCCTTGGGTCTCAATTTCGGCCGTATTCCAGATCGAGACGAGCGTCCAGATCGAGCATCCAGATCGAGCTTCTAGATCGAGCATTCAATTCTAGATCGTGTGTCACATACGTTCTTTGGCTTTTTTTTCACCCCTCTTTTTCTTACTTTTTTTTGTAATATTCGCTTGCGACGCTTGAGATCGGTTGCACTGCAGATGTGTCACTCGATTTCGTCATGATCTTCCTCCAGAAAGAGCGAGAGGTATGGAGTGAGATCGTATCTATGGATACCCTAGGCCTGGAATGTCAGATAGATCGAGGAAAATAATATTCTTTTTTTAATTTCCGTATTTGAGCTTCTTTCCTTTTCCTCGGGCAACATCCAAGTGCTATACGTGTTTAAACCCTGCGTGTAGGCCCAGGCCCCTTCACCCTAATGAGATCACTAATAGGCCTTCTGAATCCCGAGTTTACAACGAGATTGCCGAACACTGGATGTTAAACAATATCGTACATATATATACAGGATAATGTCTAACAATTATTTTGTCCCTCCCTTTCAGTTTTAGCTGTCCGTGCGGCCCTGCCACTCCTCAACCCGGATTATCCAATCACGAACAAGAGCTTCAAAAAGCCCACTCTCATCGATAGGAAGTCCATGCGTACCACGATCTAGAACAGCATAGGTTGATCGTGGATAGAGCTCCAGCAATCGGAGGCTGTCTCGATAGCCCACATTGTCGTCTTGTCGACCACATACAACAAGTGTGGGTGCAAAGAACTTAGCACTTTGATCGTCCAACGAAAAAGATAACTGATAACGATCTGGATCTGCCCGGATCGGATCCAACACCTCATTATCTGCTGCTTTTTCCGCTGGAATGTAAACCTCCTCGTATTTTGCCTTTAAAGTCTTAACATAAGCAGGCGTTTGAACGAGAACGTTTCCAAGCAGTTTCCTGTCTTCGACTGGTAGGTTCGACATGAGTTGCTCGTTTGCAACCAAAGGTCTGAAAGCGTCGAGATCGCGCATGCTGTCCTTTGGCTCAATGAGTGGTACCCGTAATAGTAAACCATCGACTTGATCAATATATTTTTGAGCTATCGCACGGGCAAGGTAGCCGCCACATGATGAGCCGACGAGTAAGAATCTTGAGTTCCCAAGTCGAGAATCAATGAATTGCACAAGACGATGGTAGATCTCATCCAGATTCTTGATGTTGTTCGCAGGTGTTGTGCCCATGCCTGGAAGGTCCACGTAAATCCGGTGAAGTCCAGGTGTTTTCTTGAAGATCGGCTCAAAGTCCACCTCCTCGCCTTTTCCTTCCATCTGCCATCCATGGATGATCAAAACGGGAAGGCCTTCGCCGATTTCATGTGCAGATAGAATAGGTGTCATTTTGTTACTAGGAGTGATTTTGTGGATATATGAGTAGGAACTAGAGTAGTTGATTTCCTGGAAGGGTACAAATTGTTCCTTAGCACGCCATCTTCTAGTGCTGACAAAGTGTTGCTCTTATCGTAATGTAACTAAGCCATAATGAGCCTGGAGTGGATAATATAAGCGAGGCAAGGATCGACTTGGGAACTAGTAGAGAAAAAGAGAGACCGAGTAGAGAGGTATGTAGTTATATGCCTATTCGTTGTATGTATTGTACAATGTGAAACTCGGTGGTTAGTATCCTCAATCAGATATATGTTGTATACCACCTGGGCAGTATTGATTCCTAAGCTTTCCACATAAAAGCAATATGATGTCATGGCCTTCCTTAGAAGCGGGGCAGAAATCCAATCATTTCCATTTTCACTTTTTCTCTGTGCGGGTCGTCCCGGTACGAGGTCGCTCCTTCGGGTATAGGGGATTCCGGTTACATACCCATTTACAGGGTATCTCAGAAATACGCTCACATATGTATTTGTATCCACTAGTATTTTCGGTACCCGGAGTGTATCATCGTATCATCCGTTGGAATATCGTTTGCCACTCTGACTGATGTTCCCTGATTGGACCTTTCTCTTTTTACTTTTTTACTTTTCTCTTTTTCATTGGAGTTATCTAACCGCTAGGACTATGATCGGCATTTGTCTATTTAGTTTGGCTAGGCACTGCACTGCTTATGGGAACGTACTTTGTGTCTATAGTATATAAATGTTGCACTCAAACCTAGAGATCATCTATCTTATAGTCAACATTAATATTGGGCTTATAAGGTTCAAACTATACCTATCCATGGTTGCTTATGCCATGATTATATCGTTGAAATCTCACCTGATAAACAATGCCCTAAGTCGTGTCACCATTGCCCCTGACCTGACTGCAGTTTAACATGGACCATCCTTCGTACTCATATAGGGCTGATGCTTAAGCTAAAATAGAACACTGTTCCAGACTTGGTGACAATCAACAACTTTCAAGGCTAAAGTGATATCCCACTTCTGCACTTAACCTTCTCCCAGTGTCTGACCTAAATTTAGATTGTTATGCCAATGATAACAGTTACTTCAAATGTAATATTATGAAAGTTAATATCCTTGTTATCCTTGCAATGTTTTGCTACTTTGTCTTATATCCAAACATAGTTCAGGGTCTCTATGGCCTGACCATAACAATAGAAAATATAGCTATGCCTGTTTGCCCTTGCAGTCTTATTAATGTGGCACATAGACCATTGTTTGTGATACCCCAGCCTCTTTATAGAAATGATCCTGTTCATCCGAGAGTCTTAGGGGGCAGGTTTTGAGCTGATCTCTGAGCTAAAACCGGACATGAAGCCCTCTACTGTAGCCCACGGCATGATTCTACCGAATGAAACCCCCCCGATGTTAGGCAAAGAGCCTTTTCGTTTACTTCCACTTCAGTCAATGAACTAGATTTAGACTGTCTCACTCAGGTTGTACACCTACGGTTGCCGGTGCATCCAGTTTAAGGTTCTATTCGAGTCACACATAGAGGTGTGATGTTGAAATTATATTCCAGGAGTACTGCCCTATCAAGTACCTTCACCATACCCGTAAGTGGCAGTCGTGACTTCCTTGTACGTTTTACCTCAAAGATGGGAAGTACACAATCAGAAACCAGCACGTGTTCCCCTCGTAGTCACCGGCACCGCTCCTTCCTCAAGAGGTGGTGACTTTGTTTACTATTTCTTCCCCCCCAGCTCCCATTTTCTTTTCTCTTCTTTTTCTCTTCTTCCACTTCACACTCGTTCCCCTTTTTCTTCATCCACCTTCGTTTAAATCCATCAATCCATCAATTTACACACTCGTTTTTAAAACTTCATCCCCGCCAAGATGGTAGCTTGGACGCGTTTCAAGTTACTTCTGGCCTTGGTCACCACTCTGGTGACCATGGTTGCTGCTTCGGCCGGTATGTCTCATGGCCCATAACTGGCTATGTTTTGATCACTTACTGACATTGTCGTCGAACAGAATGTTTTGACGTCGAGACGGTCCTGCTTCAGGACCCCCACTCTGGGGAACAATACCAGTTTGGTGAGGGTAAGTCAATCTCACTGTTTGGGTCAGTTTGAAATCTGCCGTTGCTGATCAATCTTCATAGTCAATCTCTTGCCTCCTCGCGCCTTGTTTGGTCGTGCTGTGCACGCTTCTGAATTGAGTAAGTCCAGCCTCCTCCTCATGCTCTCGGGGATTTTTCAATTCCCTCCCCTTTTCCCAGACCAAGAACTAACTTGATACCAGTCACTGTCACGATTACCCATACTACCTGCGGTCATGAGGAGCCGACCACAACTGTCACAACAGATGTTCCTTGCACCACTGGGCATTCGACCACACCACTCACCACTGAGTCTACTACTCCAGTTGAGGTCACTACCCCTGTGCCTGGTTCTTCTCAGTCCAGTGCCCCTCCCAGTACCTCGTCGATCCCGGTGCCTGTTACCAGTCAGACTTCTGTGACTAGCACCCCTGAGGTGTCTTCTCAGCCGACTGCACCTACTACTTCGTCGGTACCGGTGCCTGTTACCAGTCAGACTTCTGTGTCGAGCACCCCCGAGGTGTCTTCTCAGTCGACTGCACCGGCTTCCTCCCAGACTCCAGTGCCTGTCACTACCACGCAGACTCCCGTGTCCAGCGCTCCTGAGGTGACCACCCAGTCATCTGTGCCTGCTGGTCCTCACAGTTCTGTTTCCGGAACTACTGATGTGACCAAGTCTTCTCCACCTGGTACAACCCAGACCCCTGTGCCTGGCACCACTTTTGTGACTTCGCCATCTTCTGTACCCGGAGCCCCTCAGACTCCAGTGCCTAGTACTACTGAGGTGTCCACTGGAGGCAGTTCGGCAACCAAAGCTGAATCCTCCACGGTTACTGCCACTCCCACCGAGTCGGTTCCTTCATCTCGTCCCAATGGTACCAGCGTGGCTCCTGTTCCTGTCACCACTTCTGAGGACCACACCACTTCCACGGTTTCTGGTACTGTCACTGAAGTGACAACAAGTCCCAATGCTACCAGCGTGGCCCCTGTTCCTGTCACCACTGTTGAGGACCACACTACTTCCACGGTTTCTGGTACTGCCACTGAAGTGACAACAAGTCCCAATGCTACCAGCGTGGCTCCTGTTCCTGTCACCACTGCTGACAATAACACCACTTCTACAATTCCTGGCACTGCTACCGAGATAACCACCGAGACGATCTCGTTGCCTTGCCCTTCCTCCTCGGAAGTGTCTCCTGCTCCTGGTACCACCGAGATTCCTGGGTCCATTACATCTTCTCGTCCTACCAAGGTGGTTCCTGTCCCTGGTACAACTGGAATAACTTACACAAACTCGACTCTTCCACACGTTCCTAGCACCGTGACTGATGTGACCACCTATTACACCACGTCTCCTTGCCTCAACTCAACTGGGCTGGCTCCTACCCCTCCTACCCCAGTGACCACTGAGATCACTATCACCGTTGAGGTTCCTTGCACCGAGACTACCAAGTGTCTCAGCACCAAGGTTCTCACCACCAGCACCCTGCCAGCTCCGGAGACAACTGTTCCCGTTCCTGTCCCGGCTTCCACTGAAGAGGTCACTGTCACAGTTGAGATCCCTTGCACTGAGTCCACCAAATGCATCAGTACCAAGGTGTACACCACCACCCCTTCGGAGACTACCACGATCTCTGTGACTCCGATTCCGGTTACAGTTCCCGCGCCACAGACCACCACTGAGTTGGTGACCACGGTAATTCAGCCAACTGCTCCTGGTGTTCCTCCCCAGGAGACCACTCAGGTTGTGACGTCTGTGGTCCAGCCCACTGGCCCTGCCCCACAGACCACCACTGAGTTGGTGACCACTGAGCTGGTGCCACTTCCGTCTGCCACCACTATCGAGGCTACCACTGTGGTCAAGGTTCCCGTTCCTCCTGCTCAGCAGGATACCACTTTGGCTACGACTACTATTCCCAAGCCCGTGGTGACTAAGGCTGAGGGTACCACAACCGAGTCCAAGGTTTCAGTTGTGCCTCCTGAACAGCCTACCTCCACCCAGGAGGATACTGTTCCCCCTGCTCAACAGCGTACCACTCTGGCTACGACTACTATTCCCAAGCCCGTGGTGACTAAGGCTGAGGGTACCACAACCGAGTCCAAGGTTTCAGTTGTGCCTCCTGAACAGCCTACCTCCACCCAGGAGGATACTGTCCCACCAGCTCCTCATGGTACTTCTTCCAGTGGCACTCAAACCCCATCTCCTGTTTTCAACAGTGCCAATGCCGCTGGAATCATGGACAGCCGTGTCTTTACTGTGAGCATTGTGGTTATGCTCTCCCATATCTTTCACTTGATTCTGTGAGAACGCCACACATTCTTCCCGTGTTAGGAGGCAAGTCTAGCCATCTTCTGATGTAGCAAGGATAGTGCCTGATGCGATGATTGTGTTTGCGATTGAAATTTGAGGAACCCATGGTGTTGATGGGTGGCCTTTTTTTATTATCTTTTTTTATGGGATGCAACTGGCTCCCCTAATCTTACAAATTTGATTAGTGACTCATATTCTAGTTGAAGCATAGCTTTCCAAAATTCAAGTATGTTCACTAGTTATTGATTATGCCCAACGTATCTTGTAATCTGTAATCTGCAACCAAATACGAAGCCCAAAAACAAAAGAGCTGACCGAACAATGCATTCGGGTAGTTATATTTTGGCTGTGAAACAAATGTTACAGATAAACAGAAAGTACTACATATGTAGTTAAGCAGCCAAAGCATTGAATGTAACACACATCTTTATCAAATGAACACAATGGCCCGTGTGATAGCTTCACAGAATGGATGAATGCTAATATCCCGAACAAATGGGTGCAGTAGCTTGGCTAAAAAGCCAGAGTATCTCAGATAAACAAGGAGAATGCATAGGTATGTGCACATGGAGTATACACACAGGGACAGACATGAATGGGTACAGATCTCCCTACCCCAACAGAGCTCAAACTTCAACCTCACCAAGGGATTCAATCTCTCTCGTCAGAGCACAGATTCGACATCCATCACCAATCTTGTCTCGCAGGATTCTTGCCGTCGTGACTTTGGGACCAACGGTGCGAGATGCGGTAGCAGATCGGGTCTCGTCGACTGGAGACATGGCTCGGGGTGTAAGATCTGCAGATCGGTCACGGCTGTTCGTGCCAGATTGTTGCTGTGGCGTGTCTGCGTGTAAGTGGGATAGATGGAAAATATGGCCACAGGCAAAGCCAACGAGTATCTCTCGCTCTTTATCAGGGTTATTATTAGCATTGGACTTTTTTGAAGATAAAATATCGAAGGGTCGGAATCATACCGTTTTCCCGGAAGGCGGCTTTGCAACCGCCGCATCTTCCTTGTCCAGGGCCTCCGAACTTCCTCGCTCCACTGCTCACGGATATTTGATCTTGAGCTTGGGTCTTTGCTGTCGGTGTCTTATTGAAATCTTCTTGTCTGTCGTCAATGACATCGAACTTGGTTCCCCGGCGCTGGCCTTGGCGCAACGAGTCCATCCCAAGTGCGACTTCGCTTTGCATGACCCTGGCCGCGCCTTGGCTGATACTAGCTTGTAGATCATGTTCACGGATCAAGCGAGTGAGACCCTCTCTTAGACCTTCGATCTCTAGCCCGCTCGGGATCCGACGCACAAGCTTTATCGGGTCGATGGCCGTTCCGGCCTCGACAAGAAGACCGTGGATGAACTTTGGTTTGTCCATAGAGTAATCAAGCAGGTCTTCCCACAGATCAGGATCTTCCTGTGATTTTGCAAAGGAAATGGCCTGTGAAACATCCTTGAGATCCGATAGAATCAGGTTCAAGGCTCGCTTTGTCTGGCCCATCTTGGACAAGAGGAAAATCAACTCTGGTGTGAATTTGTGGTCTTCGCAGATGGATGTGGCTTTCTCGAATGAATATGATATGCTTGTTTGGAGGAACTCCATCAGCAGAGGCCGGTCGTAGTCGGCAAATACCTCAACGGCCGTATCGGCAAAGTTATCAATCAGCGCTTTGCCTTCATCGGCAGCAAGCTTGCTGGCTGCATCCCGAGCATGAGTTCCACGTCCTCTTCTGGGCTTAGAAGCGTCGTGCGGTAATGATTCACCTCGCCAGAGCGCTCGGAGGTAGAAATAAAGGAACAGGAACCGGTTTGCGGCGATCAACTGAGATACCACGGTATCTGGGAGGACAATTCCCGTGTATGCTTCGCTAACAAGGAGTCGCGTTGGCTCTGAAGTCAACTCCTCCAGTTCGGATTTTGTGGCTGACTGCATTTGCTCTTTGGAAACCCGAATCATAATGAAGGCCGGTATATCATCAGTGACTGCGTCGAGCAAGCGGTGTTCCCGGACCAAAGCCATAGCAGCATCTCCATCTTGCAATCGTATATAACAACGCAAGGCTTCGCGATGATGCCCACCTACCAGGAATAACTTAGCGAGACAATCTGTGAGGATTTGCCACTCCTCAGACCCGGCACGCACTGACTCAGATTTAGCCTGTGCTTCGATGGCTTCTGTGACCACATTCGCATCAAACAAATCGAATGGCCATATTTCGATGAGTTCTTTGAATTTGACCAAGTCTCGTGACACATAGTGAGTGAGAATGACTTCGTAAATCCGAGAAGACAACGATGGATTTAAATCAACCGGGATTTGCGAAGTGATCTCGTCAATTTTATCATTTTTGATGAAGGTCCATGCCCAGTGTTCCCATCGTGGGGCGTTGCGGATGACTTTGCCGCAAATGCTCGCAGCCTCTGTCCACTTCTCTTCGCTGACAAGTTGGTTGACCCAAAGTTCCCCAAGGCGAGCCTTTTCCTGTTCAGCAGCAGAAACTTTTGTTCGACCAGCCGTTGTGATAGATGATCGATCATCAGCAAAAAATTCACCTAAACTGGTTTGAGACCTTCCTGTGGCCACGGAAACAACTTCGGTTAGGTCAGCTATCGAGCCCGCAGCTTCGGGATGTTCATCGACGAGACGCCATGCATCCTCGTACTGGCCATGAGAGTCAAGCCAGGACAAACGGTCCGCAAGATCCCTTTTTACTGCAACAACGCAGTCGTAGGGGCTGTGGACAAATATTTTGGCACCAGGAGCACCTGCAACTTCCTGCACCTCCTTCGGAAGGGCATCTTCGGCCGCATGGAGTTTGGATATAAAGGAGGGAGCAGCCCTCCCAGACCCCTTATCACCACTGCTTGTGGTACTTCGGATGCTGGCGCCAGAGCTGAATAGCCGCGCAGAGTACATAGTAGCATCCAAGAGTCCATACCCAAGAGCCCCCAGGGCACCACGCTGGACGACTTGTCCCTCTGGGGTCTTCCACGGAGGCAAGACACTCAGATGATAATCGGACGCCGAGAGACCTTCGAACCGGTTTACTGAAAGTGTATCGGCGCTGACTTCTTCATTGGTTTCAATGTCAATGACACGAAGTTCAGGTTCCAGACCCCTTTTCCGATTGCGGGTCCCACTGCTTCTTCCGTTGCTTGCAGTTTCACCTTCGGTTTCCATATATGCGAGAATGACAAGAAGACGAGGCGTATACAATGAGATGCCAGATACCACGCAGTCCGTTCGTAATCTGTGTTCAAAGTTAACGATGGGACAATTCAACATGTGCGAGCTTCAGCTTACATTGTAACAACCTCTGCAGAGCCCAATTTCTCGCCCTTCGATGTCTTGCTTGTCCTTTCGGGGTAGACATCAATGACCCAAACAGTTCCTCCCCAGCCGACGACAAGCTTTTCCACTTTCTCGGTCGACACGGTGAACTGAATTTCTGGACTTGCTGAATTGTCATCTGGGTCGAGATTGTCCCGACTGTCTAAAGCAGACTGGTCAATCCACTCTGCGCGTGCTTTCCAAACACCGGCCATTTCATCCCAGCCGGGACGATTTGGACGATCAATATGGCTGATTCGTTTCCACGCAAATTCTGTCTCTGAGGAATCCAGATGCAGATTTGACCGCATAATCTTGATACCTTCCTCGTTGACCCAGGCTACATATTTTCCTGAAAGTGACCATTTAATTGTGCTTATAGTCCCTTCCCCGCTGTGGATAATTGTATCCTTTCCACTGGTGGATGCTAGGCCCATGGACCCAAGCCAGCTTGACGCTGTGGCAGCCGCACCCCCCATTGTTGTCGAGTTGGAGGTCGCTCCAATACGACCGCCAGTTGTCAGGACCAATTCACCCGCTCGGCCACCAGACAGGAATGCCCGATCACTTTTGTACTCTGGAGACAAAGTGATAGACTGAACTGGTCGGCCAAAATTGCGCAATAGCACGTCCTTGGGGTCTACCAGCGACGAGACACACACGTGGCCATCAATTGAGGAGGTTCCAATGTAAATCGAGTTCGATGGTATGGAAGGAATAGCTGGATAACCCTGTTTCCCTTGGCCACGGATACTACCGGTGGTATTAGATGATCGCGTGGATGGTCTGTATTCCTCTGTGGTCTGCTTGCTGGAGGTGTCTTGCCTAAGGTTCGGGAGGGGAGGTGGAAATGGCGATATCGATATTGAAGTTACACTTGCTGAGTGTGCATGATATACACGGAGGGATTGTAGAAGCGGCAATGACATAACATGCTTGACAAGGTCAGCTCATGCCTGCGCTCTGGTGTGGCTAACTTACGACGTTTCCGTTGTGTGTTCCGACAATCTAGGCATATCGTTAGCTCATTATCATAATATAGGTTCCGCTAAAAATACATACCATTTTATCTCCTGCTACGAGGAACGAGCTTGTCGCATCCCCGTTGCGATATACTGATCCTAGGTGCTTCGTAAGGTATGCGTACTTGAGGCGGGGCTCCTCGTCCTCGTCGTCCGAGTCATCTTCTTCCTCGGCCTCTTCTTCTTCCTCATCATCACTGCTACTAGAGCTGTGGTCATTGTATCGTTGGTGCTTATCTTGGGCGCCTTCAGTCGTGTCTGTTGGTGAACTGGTTCGTATGGATGTGTCGTGCTTGGGAGTGCTCTGAACGGCACTTTCGTCCGGCGGTGTCGCGCCAGGCGCGTCCATGGCGAATCCCTCACAGCACCTGCAGCTCCCGAGCTGGTTAAAGTGGAATGCGACAAGCTGGAAACGGGATTCGGTGGTTCTACAGTTGAGCCGGGGTAGGTCAGGGCCCCCGAGCTTGGTTCCATGACTAAGCGGGGTATCGGGCCGCGGGCTACAAAACGATGTCATTGACTGAGCCACTGGTGTTTTTATTCCTCAAACGACACAATGTTTGCCAGGCCATTTGTCTGCTTAAGCTGCAAGCGCCCAGTACTACGACTTCCTACGCGACCGCAGACCCAATACTTTCACGTCTCTCCTCCATTGGCACTTCCCCGACGGAAGGATTTCTTCTCATCCAATGCCCACTTAAAACAAAAACAGAACAACAACGATGAACCAATTGAGCTCTCTCCGGATTCCCAGAAGCAACGTCGACGGGGTCCTAGGTTACCAGCAGCTCCCACTTCATTGCGGCGAGTAGCGGTAGAAGCACAGAGGTCGAAGGATAGCATTCACTCCAAGGCGCTCCTCAAAGAGCAAGGTTTATATCGGACTAAGGTTGGCATAACTGAAATTTTCTACGATTTCCTTCACTGATTGTTTTGCTGTCTCTAGACAGTGACTGCCTACGCCGTAGCCGAGCAATTCAACATCCGCAAAGTCAGAGATATTTTACAAGAACGAGGATATGAACCAGACCCGTTGGAAACGGGTCTCTTCCCGCAAGTCGTTCATGTTCAGATACCGTTAGATTCCATACAGCGCATGACGAATCCCTCGAGCACAGATCTACCATCCGACGAAGTGGGCGATTTATTTGTGTTTCCCTCGGGTACAGTCGTAGCGTGGTCGCTTCCAGAAGGATTCACATCATTCCTAGCAACACGAACTCTCTTGCCCGCAACAGAAGGTGCTCATGTTGATGAGTTGGAAACCGAGGATCTGGAATTCGTGGAGGACCCGAAGCGGGAGAACAGTGTGATCAAAGGGGACACGATTATACTAGGAACTAACTCTGGCCACGGGGATGCAGAGGGATCACCAGCGGCGCAACAATCCGTCGATACAGTGTTGACCAAGGTTGCATTTTCCTCGGGTCTTGCCCGGAGTACCAAGTTGGCCGTACTCGAGAGCCTTCTTTCAAGCTATTTTGAATCGACTCGGCCAATTCCGACTCTCCTATCACAAGGATCACGTCTTCCTTTTACACGAGACTTTGTCCTCCGCAAAACTGGGCAGCTACTTAGTGTCCGAGCCCAGCTCAATCTCTATTCCGAGCTCACTGATTCCCTTCCTGATATCTTTTGGGACAGCCGCCACGAGCTCGGCTTAGAAGGATACTATGAGCAGGCTGGCAGAGCTTTAGATGTTGGCATTCGCATCAAACTGCTGAATGAGAAGATGGACTATGCGCAAGAGATCGCAAGTGTACTCCGGGAGCGCCTTAGTGAGACCCATGGTCTCCGACTCGAATGGATTATCATTCTACTCATTGCCGTTGAGGTTGGCTTTGAAGTATTGCGTTTATGGAAAGAAAGAGTACATGAACAGGAGGAGGCGCGCAAGCAGGAGACCCAAGGTCAGTGAGATATTTTACCCACCGTGGAACAACCAACTATGATACCCCTCCACTCTTGAATGTAAGCATATTACTCTGAATGACCATCTTTAACTTTTAAACGAGTGCAACATCAACATAGAATGTGGCTGCTGTTGTGGAAGTAAACAAAGCCCCGGATGACTCTTATCAGCTGTCCCCGCGCTTAGTCATATGACACTCCGCACGAGGCGACTCCCATAGTACGTGGACAACATTCGTAGCCTCCTGAGTATACGTATCTCTCCTCTGAATACGACCATCCTAGTACTTATCTACTTGTCTATTACTATATTCTCCGTCTGTTTCAATTTCATAAGTGTGATCCCTGATAACACGACGAACAGCTGCCATCCACGATGCGGGGATCATCACAACAGTTCATGGGGATCCCCGGACCCCAGAAGATCCTCAAGACCTTCGGCTCACTCTGGCTTTCACAAACTTCAAACGAGAATGGAAACCCTGGAACCTCCTCATCATGCCCGACCTCGGAAATAAGTTGCCAGGCCAATTACCACGGTCAAGACACCTGCTGTTTCAATTACCCCGGCGGTCAAATGCTACAGACGCAATTCTGGGATGTCGACCCTGCACTCGGCCCTGAGGACGCATGGACTATCCATGGGCTATGGTGAGTTTGTACCACATTCTCAGATTGAATGAATATACAACTAACCCTTGTAGGCCCGATCACTGCAACGGCGGCTTTGACCAGTTCTGCGACTTCAGACGCAAGTACAGCAACATTTCTCTGATCCTAGTTGACGCGGGCCGGGCAGACCTTCTCGAATACATGAGCGAGTATTGGAAGGATTTCCGCGGTGATGATAACAATCTGTGGCAACATGAGTGGAACAAGCACGGCACTTGCGTCAGCACCCTGGAGCCAGATTGCTACACGGACTATCTGCCACAGCAGGAGGTTGTGGACTACTTCGACAAGACTGTTGAGGTTTATAAGGAGTTGCCTACCCATGAGGTTAGTTTGATTCTCTCGATCAATGACCGACTATATATATTCGGATCAAACCACTAACAATATATAAGTTCCTGGCCAATGCTGGTATCATCCCATCCCAGACACGAACCTATGCTCTTGCCGATATTGAAGCTGCATTGGAACAAGCGCATGGAAAACCCGTCACTATCCGTTGTCGAGGCGGCGCCATCAATGAGATTTGGTACCATTTCAACATCGCAGGAAGTCTGCAATCGGGAGAATTCGTCTCTGCAGACCCAGGTCGGTCAACCTTCAAAGTTACTCACTCTGGTAGATTGCAAGCTTACGAATTGACCAGATGGCCTGAAGTCCAATTGCCCTTCCAGGGGAATCAAGTACCCACTGAAGCATGCTCGACATGAGCCTACGCACACGACAACCATAGGTCACCCCGAGCCCACTGCACCAGGCACTCCATTTACAGGCCGAGGTAACCTGATTGTGGAGAGACTTAACAGAAAGCATGGTTGCATCATCAGCTACGGAACATGGTTTTCGTCAGGGACCTGTGCGACATTCCGGGCGGAAAAAATCTCAGGTTCGTAGCTGTTCTTTCTGCATATGATGCCTCTGCTATTGTTTGCTAACATGAAGCAAATCACATCTTGCAGATGATATATTCACCCTGAAATCTAGCAAGGGGCCCTGTGCCTTCGAGCGGGACGCCCTTGCTTGCGGGCCCCACGTCACCACGGCAAGCGAGTTCACCGTATGTATATCCCAGATCGTCTTACGAGATATCGTTGCATGTTCTCACACTGTATACAGGCCAAGGATGATAAGCTCGCTTACAGTGATCACACTACCTTCTATGCCGACAATCCACCCAAGGGGCGTACACAGAGTACTGTGTATGCTTCGCAAGGGGGGCGGCCTATTGAGATCGAGATCACCTGGACTTCGAAGTAGATTGCCATCTCCACTGTTGCTTTCGCTTCCCATGATTCTAGTGGAAATTAGGTCATTGAGTAGGCCTGTCGGGATGTGATATAGTTGCACAGCTATCCCGGCATAGAATAGGGCGAGGGAGCTGTCAGTCAACAATTCTTTCAAGCAGAATAATTAGAAATATCAAATATAAATGTGCGGTATTTAGAGTTGTATCTTAGTATATGTGATTTTCTTCTGAACGACTATTTAGTATTTGCTTAGTATTTGCTCTCTTTCTTTTAAGCTGTGTGGCCCATTTGTATGATGTTTTCTTTCCCTTGACTAGACAATATAAATTGAAGGATTCAGGCTACAACTACAATTCTACAATCAACACACATAACAGATGATATGGAACCGGATGTAAGCTGTGTGCATAACAAGTTTGACATAGTAGTACAGGCTATCGGCAATTATGTCTGTCATCGGAGGAAAATAATCCTCCAAGTAAGTCATCTTGTTGACAGGGTAGGTACAGAAAAGATCCATTGAAAGTAAAGACATCGAATACATATCGCATCATCAAACATATAAAAAGAAGGGTAAACACCGGGAATAAACACGTCGCCATATGTCGAACATCTTCAAAGAGATGAGACAAGGCCAAAAAGACGTGAACAATGAGATAATCATTCGAAAAGACAAAGAAAAAAAACAAGAAAGGAGAAATACAGGGGGAAATAGGGCAAAAAGCAAATAGCCCGAAACACCCGCATGTCCGCAAAGTCGTTTCAAATCCCGAAATGTGCAGAGAAAGTAAACGCCCGATTTTTTGTCATGGGTCATTAAAGTGTACAAGGTCGTCCCGTATCGTTGGAAAGAAGTCACGCCGTGAAGAACATGAGCCGCGTCGTATATGCGTGCTCGTTTTGGGTACCAAAAAGCCGTTCAAGGGTCCACCAGGAACTCGCTGGACAAGCAGTCGATTGGGTCCGTCAAGTCATCATCCATGTGGGAAAGACCAGAGAAGGTCTTCTCGGGGTAATAGGATGAGGCAGAGGCGAAGTCGGTGGTATCCACGAACTGATAAGTCGGGAAACCAGAGAGACCCGAGTGAGCGAGATGGCCGAACTCCTCTCGTAAATCGTCGGAGGGATCTTGAGTCATGAAGATATCGATCTCAGAGCCGACGGATGATTCGGCCAGGGTGGGCGCCGAGCGAGGGGAAGACATCTCCCGAGGTGAGAGAGCAGATTCGCTGTAGAGAGATTCCTGCGAGTACGTGGATTCTTGCGAGTATGTCTGGGAACCAAAATTTGATCCGTACTGAGCCATTGCCTGCTCGTATCTAGCGTGAGCGAGTTGGGGTGGTGACAAGGGCAGCATGTCATCCTCAAGCTGAGCATCGAGGGAATTGTAGGTCTGGCACGGCGGGGAAATCGTGTTGTATCTGTCTCCTGGGGAGGTGGGCGGCGTGAATGACGAGATGGCAGTGGACGGGGCATAGTTGGGCGAGTTGAACACGGGAGCATCTTGCAGAGTGGGCTGGGGCTTGGCTGAAGCGTCTGGGGTTGACTTTTCAGCAACACGTTGACGAGTACGAGTGGACTTGGCCTGGCGAGTCTCAATATCGGGACGGCTGTTCTTCTTCTTCGGGGGGCGGCCACGCTTGGTGGTCTTTGGAACGACACCGGTGAAGCCTCCAACACACATATCGCGTTGGCGGTGACGAGTCAGGGCATCTTGTCTAGCGAAGCTGGCACCGCAGGCACAGGCGAAGGGCTTGTTGCCACTGTGTGTCTTGAGATGGCGCTTGAGATCGTGTCCGCGCACAAAGTGCTTTTCGCAAATGTCGCATTTGAATTGACGGTCTCCGAGATGTGTTTGGACGTGGGACTTGATGTTTTCCTTGCGACCAAAGCGGCAAAGGCAGCCTGTAAATAGACACACCCACTTTCCATCTTTGGGGTCGGGGCCGGAGATGAACTTGGCAATTTCGTCGGTCGAGACACCGGTTTGCTGGACTGATGCCTTGACTCGAGCATCCAGGTCACCATCGTGAGCAGCTGACTCGATTGGAGTCGACACAGTAGATGTGGATCGCTTCTTGGCTCTGCCAGTGGAAGATGTGAATGAGATATTGGAATTTTGAGGTGTCATCCCATAAGAACTCGGGGATGGCATATCGGCAACTTCGGCGAAGGACTCGGTAATCGGGGAATTGACGGGTGAGGGCATTTGCTGCTTAATCTGCACGGAATTGACATAGGGGGCTCCTTGGAAAGACTGGGCTCTTTGCATCTCAGCAGTGGCAGGGATTTGGGGAAATGAGAAACTTTGGGACTTGGAAGGTGTTGGGTCATTGCTGTACATGGAATAATCAATAGATCTTTTCAATGGGGTAGAATCGGGGGTCAAGGGGGAGTTGTCTGGCATCTCATTAGCATCAGGCAGGTTAGATTGAAGAGAAAGATGCATACAAGCAGTAGACATTTGCGAAAGGATCTTCGCAGATGGAGCCTTTGGTTGAACAGAGACTGGGTGCATTTGTCCGGCATACGCCGTCACCTGCTCGTTTTGGGCCATTGGCATGTTGCGCTGAGGAAACAATTCCCAGTCGGCATTGCCAGTAAACTGTTGCTGTTGTTGTTGCTGGTTCGAGAATTGCTCTTGTTGCATACGGTGCAGGGCAAGCTTCAATGGTGTGTTTTCGGAGCATTCACTGGCTGATCGAGACAAAGCCGGAGCACCGATAGAGGATGGCGCAGGGCTGCCAGTGGTGGTGTGGATCGCTTGCAATTGTTCTTGGTTGAAAGCCTCGCAGTCAGGCCCGAGCGATTGGTGAGGTTGATATTGATACGGCTGCTGCATGTGCATGCCTGATGGAATGAAAGATTGCTCGGGCTGCTGGGCATATTGTTGATACTGCTGTACATCCCTCTGTTGATATGGGAAACCTGATTTTTCGTTAAAATAATCTCGCAGCTGCGAGACCGTCTTCGGCATGTGTCGGTCCATAGGAGGCTGTTGATTGAAAGAACTGTAGTCCACAGTCTGGCCTCGACGATGTGACCGACGGGGTTGCATATTGTTCATGACTGGTGCGGGCTGGTATGGAGCAACTGGTGTGGAGATTTGACGGCGATGACGACCGGTTCCCAGCGCGTTGGAGTTCATGATTATGTCGCCGATTGACGGTATGGGTCCTGATTGAGGTGTCAGTATGTGAATTAAGCAAGCAATGGGCAATAGGGAAGAGGTAGAGTGTTAGAGGTTCAAGTCACGCAAGTAGCTATTCAAGAGTATCAAGGTCAAGGTCAAGTTCAAGTAAACCTGTCACACTGTGGATTCTGAACTGAACCTGAAAGAGCAGAAACACAGATATGTATGAATGGTTTCCCAAGTTTGGTTCTGGAACCCCGATCTATGTGAAAGACCCGTTCTCATCAACAAATCGGGGTGTTGGCATAGCAACGGCTTAGCCCGGGCGTCTGGGAAACCAAGACTCTGACGAAAAGCGGGCCCCTACTCCCTTGCCCTTCGATTTTTTTGGGCCCTTTGATGATCGCCTTGCTTGGAATTATTCGACTTCTACTGCAAGGGTAGCTAATCCCTTGGATAATAATTCATTTTAAATGGACTCCTGTACGTAGACTCATAAAAATTAGACAACTCCCTCGTTGGTTTCCGAGGAGATTCAATATAAACAAAGTCGATCTCATACTCTATACACCTTGGCTCCATATATATGTACCCATAGGCCGATAGGCCGATAGGGTCCCCATGGCGTCACATCCAATATTTTGATTTTGGAGATTCGACCTGTCCAACAGATCTGTCCAATGTCCAACACGGGATAAATATATGTGGCCTCAGGCAACAAACCCATGCACATCACCCAGCGTCACGTGTTGGACTCTCTGCCAAGACGGGCCGACCTTTTTCCTGTCGGTATTTCACCGCCCAACACGTGATTAGTATCAGTCAGCATTTCCTTTCAAGCTAGACTACTTTCGGTTATATGGCCCACCCACGTGACCACACAACGATTTTAATCACCAACCGGCTTCCGCGCACAACGATCTTTTTTAATCTTGCAAGGTTGAGGAAGACACGACTGTCGAGGTGAGTTTTAGTCCTATACAGGCAGATAGGAATGTGATGACCATGCGCATATAGCATGCAGTCCATTCTCTCTCTGTCTGCCACATTTTTATCATCGCGAGCATTCCCACTGACTTTATCGCAGGCCTTCATCAAGATGCAGATCTTCGTCAAAACCCTCACGGGTAAGACTATCACCCTTGAGGTGGAGTCCTCCGACACCATTGACAATGTCAAGTCCAAGATCCAGGGTAAGCACAACCAAAATCCGCGAGCCACGAACGCACACAATGTGTGACTCTTGGAGGTACCAAAAAAAAAAAAAGCGACATAGGCTAACCCCGCACCAGACAAGGAGGGTATTCCCCTGACCAGCAGCGCCTGATCTTCGCCGGCAAGCAGCTCGAGGACGGCCGCACTCTTTCGGATTACAACATCCAGAAGGAGTCGACCCTTCACCTCGTCCTTCGCCTGCGTGGTGGTGGTAAGAAGCGCAAGAAGAAGGTCTACACCACCCCCAAGAAGATCAAGCACAAGCACAAGAAGACCAAGCTCGCCATCCTCAAGTACTACAAGGTTGACGGTGACGGCAAGATCGAGCGTCTTCGCCGCGAGTGCCCCGCTCCCGAGGTATGTGATGATCTTTTTGTCGCAAGACAATATCATACAATCCCTATAAACAGCAACAGAAACTAATTCATCCTTTCTTATAGTGTGGTGCCGGTGTCTTCATGGCCGCTATGCACAACCGCCAGTACTGCGGTAAGTGCCACCTCACCTACGTCTTCGACGAGGCCAAATAAATGGTCTAAGTCAGGCCGTGGTGTGCTGTCACCGAGCTTGAGCATGGTTTTCTCTAGGCTGGGGCAAGTGATGGAGTATCACGGTTGATGTTGGTTGATGATGGTTCCTTGGTATACCCATGTGCTACAGTCAATACAAAGAATAAAATTAGGCATCCGCCGAAAACTCAGATTTCCACGTAGTGATAGAGTTGTATGTATTCGTAAACTTGGATATTGTCACACTGTAGTAAAATCACTGTACTGCGAATAGCAATGCGTAAAGCTGTGCAAGCTCTCACTCAACCTATTCCGGGACTCCAGCTTGGATGTTGTTGTACTTGCTCTCGGGGAACTCAAGGGCATTCTCCGACTGATCCAGAGTGTCTACACCACCAACACCGTCAACAAAGATACCAATCAAGCTTCCCTCCGCCGGATCAGCCTCCTTGCCACCCTTATCACCACTGCTCTCCCACCACATACCACCACCCAGTCCGCGCTCGAGAATATAACTCGCCTTGACCTGCGCCACATGGGGCGTGTCGTAAGAAACCATCGTGCGCGAGCCGCCATCATAGCAATACGAGGCTCTGGCTTCCTCATCGAACTGTTCCTCAGCCCCGGGTCTGGGTAGCGCCTTGTAATCCCACACTCCGTTCTCCCAACTACCCTCTCCGACCCCGGAGAAGGGGGCGCCGGGTCCATCAGTGTTCTCAAATGCACGGCCGTACAGGGGCATGCCCATGACGATCTTTGAGGCTGGTACACCACCGTCGTTGATGTAGTAGTCGAGAGCAGCGTTGATCGAGAAGGGTGTAGATGCAGGGTTGGAATCTGAGTGGGCGATGTTCGCTTGGTGGCCAGCGTTGCTGTCCCAGCTTCCGGCGAAGTCGTACGCCATGAGGTTGTAGAAGTCAAGCACGGGGGTCATCTCTTGGAATTTGAGCTTCTCGTAGTTGCTCGGGCCTGTAGCAGTCAGTTTGGTGGTTCGTGGTTACTTTTCCATTATCGAGGATATGGTATAGACATACCGGCAGGGCAGGCGATTGTCAAGTAGAAACGGCGATCAGCACCAGCCTCTCTGTCGAGAACCTATTTCCAGTTAGTTGGTCCAATGTAGATTTTAGGAGAATAGCATACCTCTCGGCACTTCTGGAGCAAGAGAACAAGGTTCTCAGCTTCGGCGTCATCTGGATATAAAATAAGTCTCGTACTTCCTTCAAGGATATTCTGACAAACTCACCTTTGGGATATTCCCAGTCGATATCGATACCTATAAAAGAGTCAAAATTAGCATTGTATACAGTGCGGTATACCTAGCCGACAAAACGTACCATCGAATCCAAGATCAAGAACCAGACGTGTTGCGGACTCAGCAAATTTAGTGCGACCCTCCTCTGTGCTCGCGGGCTGGGCGAAATTCGCAGAGTAAGTCCAGCCACCGATAGAAAGCAAAACCTTCAGCTTGCGGTTCTGTTTCTTGAGCAGGAAAAGCTGCTTGACACATCCATACGCATTGTCGCCGACATCGTTCCACGAGTCTGTCGGGTAATGCTTCTCAACGTCGGACCAAGAGTCGGTCAAGTACCTGCAGTTCTGGGTCAGGAAAGAAATTCTTGTGCAGTCTGTAAGGGTCAAGAGTAGGTAGGACTTACACCTCGCCGGTTTCAGGGCGAATGTTGGCAAATGCATAGAGGATGTGTGTCAACTTCTCCGCGGGCAGATCCTGGGGGTTGTAGTTGCGGCCGTAAATTGCCTGTGGGATATGTCAACATTGGTGCCTTTTTTTCCGATGTATATTTCCAACCAGTTAGGCATAGTAAAATGGATGCAGATCATGCAGTCGGAAGTGAAATAAAATGAGAAATTAAACACATACCCAATTGACGAAGTAGGCGACTGATTTGATGTCAGACATGGTTGATGCGGGGTGAGTAGTACGGGGATAGTTAAAGTATTGCACGAGGATAGCCACAAGTAGGGCTGTAAACAAAGCAATGGGTTTGAGACGATACGCCACAATTTCACGTCAGAAGGAAGTTATGCTCGAGAGGTTCGAGAGGTTCGAACCAAAACACTAAAAGGGCAGCGTGCAAGTATTTCTAGAAAGTACTTTATGTCGCAGCCTAATTGTTAGTGGACTGTCCGTACCTTGGGAGTCTGGGCAAAGATCAACGCCACAACGTCATTGGTCAGCCCTAGGGGACTCACATGTGGCGGTGTAGAAGTTAAGGCACCAAGGCACCAATAGTGGCTGAGTATAGATCGGAAAGGATATCCGCAAAGATAGAAGATTGGAGATGTATCTGTGCAATCAAAGATATAATCTGGATAATCTGGAGACCACCTATGTTGATGGGGGACTATATGTATGTTTATTAAATGCTTAGAAGGGTCCAACAAAACGTGGTGCGTGACACCTCCACCTGTTCAAGGGTGCATGTAACCTCATTCTTGTCCAATCCCTAATATGTTCATGTAATAGTGTGTTCGCTTATTGGTTTCGAATTTCAACTTGATTGTTTTGTGGAAGCACAAGATATGGAGTATTAAGTACTCGTGATGCTGAAGAATGTAACTCAAGGGAAGAATGCGACATGGCCCGAAGAAAAAGAAACCATGACTAGTCATGAGAACTCGTCGTTTATTATTCTGATTGTTAAATTGAATCTTTTGGATATCGTTGAAGATCTCATGATGAGATGTGTACTGCGATTCAAGATCTACAATCACCTTGATAACCTCTGGTGAGCACGCTCCTCGTCAAATGGAGCTTAACATTAGCTCCCGAAGCTACGAAATTCCTCGATATATAAAACCTTGGTCAGACGACTTAGACCCTCAAATATACCTGGGTCAATCATGAATCGGACTCGACTCTTTCGGCAGTAGATCGACCATTGAACCCGTGGCAAGTGACAACCTTCTCCGGAGGAATGTTCGGAGAAGCGGCAATCCCGCGTGGTGATTTAAACAGGAGATAGCGAGTGATGTAACAAAGATTACACGTGGACTCGGTGTTTAATACCCTTCTTCCTATATGTTGTACAATATAGTCATGAGATGATCCTCGAACCTATAGATCAAGATTTTAGCATGGAATACCCCTAAATATGCTTAGCCTTTTATGTAACCTGTTTAGTTGCTCTAGTTATATATATATATATATATATATATATATATATTTATAATGCTCTCCACTTGTTCCTACGTGACGAATTCCTGGATCACAATATATAAATTAAAAACTGATGCATGAGATATGTAGTTCTATATCGTAAAATGCGAGGTTACTACTGTTTATCCACAAATATGTACATTATTAGACCTTACACCTAACTACCGGAGGTCGCCGAAGAAGTTGATTTGCAAGGATCGACAGAGCATCTTTATCCAGCATACCCTACCTCGTATTCATAACCCTAATGCCAGTTGTGCCGATTGTGCAAGATATACAACATACAACATAAGGAGAAACGGAGACAGAACTATTCCTAAGTGCCGTGACTGCCGAGAAGACACTAAAGAGCCAAAAATGTGTGGATAGGAAGTGGTCCGATAGTCCACTTGAAGTTTAATGGGGAGAAGAAAAATAACAACGTGGGAATAACAAATCCACTATAGAAACAATGGAAGATGAAGAAAAAAAAAAAAAAAAAAAAACCCCCAAAATCTATCGCCTGAAAATCCAGTCCATCTATAGCTGAACTCGAGCCGCGATATGGTCGTTCGTTGTGCTGATTGGATCTACACAGCCGAACTAACGCCCTTAGCTTCACAGCCCGTGTCGGAAATCTCAGATTCTCAGATTCTCGACAACTTGATGACCCACTTGGATCGGTGCAACGTTTTTTTTTTTTTTTTTTTTTTCTTGATCCTTCACTTTGGATATACATACAACATATGGTGGATCTTTCAGCTGGTATCTCTGCCTTGGCGCCCCAGGTGTCTAGTTCATGTGTCAATTGCCGACATGGTCGACCGAGGCCTTGCATTTATCATTTTTGGTCTTTGCATGTATGATGTAGTGTCCCTGAAAGGAAAGATCGCCATGGGGCCATTAGGGCTGTTCATAGGTAACTCCCGGGTTATTGGGTTATTGTGTTATTGGGTTATTGTGTTATTGTGTTATTGGGTTATTGTGTTATTGTGTTATTGTGTTATTGTGGTATGCACATACTAACTATGTAGTTATTGCTAGTCTTGTATATTGAGTATAGAACAATAGAAATTGATTCTTAGATATAACTTATAACATCTCAAACAGACCCAAAATAAAATAAAATAAAATAAATAACAAGACGGGATATCGTAGCTATAACCAAAACCACGCAATAAAATCCAAACTCATTTTTTTTTCTTCATAGACGGCAGTACTCACGACCAGCGCTGTACCTACCATCTCACACAAGCCCCTCTATTAAAAAAAGAAAGAATCATACAAAGCCAAAGGCTCCCAATCACCCATGAATCAGTAGAAGGCAAAAATCCGAAAAAAAAAAGCTCCCAACCTCAACCCCATGCAACATGCATTCATTTCCATTTCCATTTCCATTTCCATTCTTGTTTTCGTTTCATATCCGTTTCATATTCCTATTACCGACCCATGACCCAGCGATGGATCGCCTCCAAGGATGGATCATCATCAAGCCAGTGACCAGCGCGCAGATCAGCAGCTCGCAAGTCCGCCACGACATGCTGGTCCGTGAAGCGAGCCAGATCCTGGTGGAGGGTAGCAGTTGTGCTCTTCAACTGGGCCGTTGGATTGGAGCTGCGTAGGACGCTGGCGCGGGTCATGGCCCATCGCCGGGCTGCGGCGGCGCGTAGGTAGATCTTATGCGCTTGGAATCGGCGCGCGCTGCTGTCCAGTATAACTCTGTACCGAGGTCGTTAGCGTCCGTGACATGATGACATGATTGGAGGTTGGGAGGTGGGAATGTATATATATATATATATATATATATATACATACCTTTGTAGCTCGGCTTTCTCCGTCTCGACGTTCCCTTGCCCTGTTATTGGGCAGGCTTGGTAATTGGCGGACAATAGGGTCTGGGCTGAGGCTTGGGACTCGCGGAGTACTACAAAGCCATCTTCCCAGTATTCTTCTTGGGATGCTTCGACATTCTGTTGCGAGATGTGGAGTAGAAGAGTGCGGTAGTCGTTGACTATCTCTGCGACTCGCATAGCGCGGGCTTGATTCACTGCACGATTATTAGCGGGTTGTTTGGGTGATTGGTTGAGATGATTGGAGGGGGTGTCAGCTTACATCCGTCTGCCATGTTTCTGGTAGATTAAGTATATAAAATGGATCGGAGATAGATCGGAGGATGGGACGGGTAAGAAGGCAAAAAGCAAGTATAAAGAATGGGCATCAACGATAACCAATGAGAGATGAAAGAAAGGCAATGGTCAGAGGAGTTGATGGTCCATAGAGTCGAGAATGTTAGGCCACCAACGGTTTCCGGGGGGGAAAGACGAAAGATATAAGTTGTTCAAAGGTTGTGGTGTGTGTCTCTCCTTACCCCATACATGACAACCTTCAATAGGTGGGCCAGAAAAGGAAAAAGGCCAGAATGATACAAAATAATAATAATATGAAACCAAGGATTTATCAGCCCGCTACAGCGGAGCCCACGTCAGGATACATCATCACCAAGAGAACGAGCTGCACCAATAGACGGGCAAGATCCCACGATCAGGGAGCTCGGGTTGTCAAGCACAGCTGGGATGGGACCGGGCCACCCATAAGCTCCCGAGAAACCGTTTACGGCATGGCTAGGACCATCCCTGTCCCAAGGAGAGGGATCGGTGGAGACAGGGCGAGAGGCAGGAAAGAGGGCCCATATATTGGACTCGCATGGGAAAAGAACTGGCCTATTGCCTCCATAGAAATCCGAGCTGTAGATTTAAAGTGGAGAAAGAGTTGTCCCGCATATGAGATTAGGTTCCTGTGAGGCCGATTTGGGGGGGTTCTCGTAAGAAGAGAGATATGGTGTTTCATGATGCTGATTGGAGAGTCTTGAATGAACTACTGGAGAACCACTTTTTTCTTTTTTTTTTTTGCGATGCATCATGGCTCGTGGGACCCCTGTTGAAATCCAGAGACATGGAATGGAGCAGGGGCAAAAAAAGTCAAGACCTCAGCCTTGGACCTGCATTAGACGAGATCTACTCGGACTTGAACTCGGACCTGACATGTAGTTAGTGGATCTGACAGTTAGGGTGAACATGTTCAGCTGATATTTGCCACACTTATTCTTAGTCTGGGACTTACCATTAGCCACTTTAGTCCCCCTAACCTCTCTAGTTCAATTGACGACGCCAATCATATACCTAGAAAGACCATTGAAAAAGACCATTGGACCCATCGATGGATAATTTATGGGCTGTCAGGATCCAGCCACCGCTAAGCCACATGTGGCACCCCGCACAACAAACTCGTAGTAGTAGCATGCCCGTCCACTGTCTCCTTGCTTTTATGCACGTACGGAGTAGAAGCTGTGATCAACCGGCAGTACCGAATTATTCCATCCCCAAAATTCATCCACAGGGTGGCGGATTTCCCACTAATTTTTGACAGGTTGGATATGGTTTCGGACTACCCGACGGGGTTACGCTATAGTATCCATAGGTAGTATCGACGATAAGAAATGGATTTAGGCCCGAGTATCCGTAATATCATCGACAATAAATGGTTATTCTAGTAGTATGGATGGAGTCAAGGAGTCAAGGTGCAGGATGAGAGAGCCCCGAACAGAGCCGAAAGTGTATTCGTGCAGGAAAGAATTGAGTTATCATTCACAGATCGTCTGTTTCTCTAAAGTAAACACCGTTGTCCTCCCATTACTGGTCGCTTACCTCCATAGCTTGCAGGCCAGCTTGCTCAGTCCTTCTCGGCTATGGCCTGCAGCCGTT